TAAATTTTCTGGAATGGTAACTACAGTTTTGAGGTTTTCAGGCGATGAGTCGTTAGTGACTTGAGGGCCGATAAGTTGGTCGAGTTTTTGGGCCTTAATTTGGTGCAAATGTTTAAAAAGTTTAATGTTTAAAAAGTAAATGGCTTTGGTTTGGTTAAGCTCAGGTTTCATGTTACCCTTGGGATATATACGGTTAGACCGTAAAAGACTCTCTCAGGGTTAAATAGAATTAGATATGAGTTCACTGACCTTGCAAATTGGTAGGAAAAGTGCAGAGCAACATGAATGTCACGAATAGAGATCTAATAAGCTTACTTTCAGTGATTTTCCTACTTATTTTACGACAATGTAGTTGGAACAATAGATGGAAGCCATGTGACTATAAGGCCCCGAAAGTTAACCACGAAGACTAATTTAACCGTAAACATTTCTTCAGTTTTTTAGTTCAGGAAATAGTTGATGCCTCTGGCCTCAAACTATCTGTTGCCACTGGTTTTCCTGGAAGTCTACATGATGCTCGCATGCTACGTTTAACTGACGTTTATTGGGCTGTTGAAGAGGAGAATATCCTGATGGAACCCACATTTGACTAAGGCGGAACTGTAGTGCGCCCTCTTATCGTGGGAGACACTGCTTATCCCACCAAACGCTGGCTTATCCGACCATGTAAGGATACTGATTGTCTTACGCACCACTAGGGGAAGTTTAACCGAGAGGTATCTAAGGCGAGAACAGTATCCGAACACCCATTTGGTATGACCAAAGGAAGATGGAGGGTTTTTACTAAGGCGCCTAGCGGGACAGTGACAATACCAGACACTATCATTGCATGATGCGTGCTAGATAACATTTGTGTTTTACGAGGAGATGAACTCGACACAGCTGATGGTGATAATGATGATAGTAATCATGGTGATGATGATGACGACAGTACCCCCCCCCCTTCCCAGGCTACAGCTGTGGTTCTACAAGCCCTTGTTCAAAACGTTGCAAATCAATAGGCAGTATCCCCTTGATTTTGTCCTCGTTACGTCCTAAATTATAGAAGGTAACAAAATATTTGTATTTTGATTTGCAATTTATTTGAGAAATTAACTCATTTAAGGTAACAGCAAATTTAATAAAAAATATATATATAGTAACATAAAATCAATCGAAATAGCGTAGAAATGATCACGGGATATTTACAGACGATGAGATGTTATCTTTTTGCTACAAAACTGCAACGTGTATTATACTAAGGTAATCGCGGTTGTGACCATTTTACAGCACTGTGTATTTCAGTGTCCAAAATGATATTCGAGATCATTTAAAATGCCTTTTTGCAACCGTTAACTGTTCCCTTTTTTTTCTTTGGAATAGAAGCGCTGCGTTGAAACTTATTTTTTGAAGCAGACTTGTCCCCGAGTTTTCCTAACGCAGACTTTGGTGTTGTCGCTGCGCTTCTGCTCGAGATTTGAGGAGAGCTTTAAAAACACTCTCGTCGTTCTCCTTGGATCTTTGGATGGATTCTTGCTGAGACTGCATCATGTCAACGATTGCTAGCTTCATGTCATCGCCGCTAAGCCTTTTTCCCATTTTTTCCAGTTTTCTCTGCAACCGCACTATCGCCTTCAGTAATGGTGACTAGTCGTTTCTCTGGTTTCTTGCCACAATCTTGATTTCCGGTCGACAAAATATCGTCGGTATCATTAGAGCTATACTCTTGTTTATGGGCTTTTGTTTCGTTGACAAATCTAGGATTTACTTTGTCTGATGAAGCCATAAATTCGTCTCCTCATTGTGTTGGAACGTTTTCCATTCCCTTCCCTTGCGATTGTTGTTATCACATACACTTTTGTATTTGTCCAAGAGCGCCCGCCACTTCTCTTTTAACTTCGCTCATAGCTTTTTAAACTCCACTCCAATGTCAAAGCACATACTTTGAAACTGCTTCAAAATATCTTCCCATTTGTTTTTCTTGCCTTGACTGCTTTTTGTAGACTTAAGTCTATCGTAGTACTCCTGATAAGCGGAAATTCAAGTTAAGCGTCTCTCTTCGGTCAACGACCAGCTACTGCGCTTGTTGCGATCGTCACTTCAGTTCAAGAATTCACTTGGAGTTGGACTGGCGCTGTCCCTGTTTGGTTCAAACTGAAGGTGATCGCCAGCACCGAGGACAGGTTTCTGGTAAATCGGGCAGGGATTTAGCATCGCTGGACAATGCAGAGGAGGCTGATTTTGAGCCATGCCAACACCACGCAGCGGATTACCGCTGTTGTTAATTCCTTGCGGCCTTGTTTGGTTTCCTTGCAGCAAATAAATACCGGTTGTAGTAGGGATCTTCGTTTTAACTAACGTTCCTATAAACAGATAAACAGAAAATTTATGAATTTATCAACTTCGTAATTGACAGTCTGAAGGTTAAACTTATAAAAATAAAGTAAGAAATACTCACAGTGATGCACGAAACCCTGCCATGTTACCTCGTGCCACAAGTAGGCGCGAAATCAGCCAAGCGCATCAGAGGTCACCTCATAGCACTGCAGGCGATTTCCTGTACTAGCTTCGTTCTGCTTTATGACTGGCCAAGCCACCTCAGGGACCAGATAAACCGTACTTTTCAGTTCAAGAACTGTCATGGGAAGTTCTTTTGTTCTTTTTGGCGTATCCATGGAACTAATTGTTGGGCAGTTTCGGTCTGGAGAAAGCGGTTACTCTAAACGTCTTTACCCATGGGCAAACGCTATTTAACAATGGGTAAAAGAGCTAGTGCAGCTACAACTATTCCTACTCGTTAGCTCCGTCCCCGTCCTTGCTCTCCACCCTTGCATCTTAAGGTCCCTAATTATTCAACACATTACACTGTTTGCACTTGCTGTCGCAGACGTCATCTTGGCTGAGTAACTGAGCTAGTTATGCGCATGCGTTGGGTCGTCACGTATATAGACCAAGGTTCTACGGACAATATCTACGAAAACAACTAACGCTTATTCTTTATAGTCTTGTGTAGTAGGTATAGTTTGGTGCAGTAGCGTAGTTTGGTGTGGTTCGGTTCAGAAGGAGTAATAGGTGGAGTCTGGTGTCGTAGATGTAGTAGGTGTAGTTTGACGTAGTGTGGTGCGGTAGTAGGAGGGTCTATAATAGACTTTTCCAATCCTGCAACCCGATGCTAATGTTCATTCCGTCTCGCCATCCCACCGCAATGAACAGTTTCATCCCGATTCTGCCGGATAAAATGCTGATTGCTCTAGTTCACCGCCATATTTAAACTAACAGACAAATTATAGCCTGTCTTTATAAGTAAGATGGAGGTGCGGTGGCCTCACGGTTAGTGCGCTTGACTCCGGATCCAGTGGTCTGGGTTGGAGCCCTGGTCGGGGTCATTGTGTTGTCTTCTTAGGCAAGACACTTTACTCTGATCACAGTGCTTCTCTTCACCCAGGTGTACAAATGGGTACCAGAAACTGAGTTGATAACGTGTATTGGCCACCGTAAAGAGTTTAAAAGCTGACGTTTCGAGCGTTAGCCCTTCGTTAGAGCGATGGAAGGAATTGTGGGTTGAATATGAGTTTATATACAGGTCAATTAGAGCTACGCTATTGGTGGGAATATGGTTGGGAATAAGTAAATATGTAAATAAGTAAAATAAGTAAAATATGGTTGGGATATAAATATGCATGGTGACGAGGAAACGAGAGTAAATCAGTTGAATGGAAAGCGCTCATTGCCAAGGTAGGGATTAAGAGTGCCGATTTGAAAGATAATTTTTTTTTAGGGAAAGTAAACAAACTACCGTATGCTGCTTAGAATTATTAGGGAGATTTGAGTGTCTAGCGACTGGTTTGGATGCGTCTTTGTCATTTCTTTCTACTTCGCGAAGGTTTTCTCAAAATCGGTCACCCAATCGTCTCGCTGTTTCACCATTGTATGACTTTTCGCAATAATTTTAAGTTATGCAGTAGATGATATTGACGGAGGTGAAAGTAAAGTGGTCAGTGATTTTAATGAATCTCTTGGGTCAAGACACTTTCCTACGTTATGAATGAGAGAAAAATTTTGGATCGTGAGCGAGCACATTTGAAATTAAAAAAGATCTATGTTGGTCATGAAAATCTTCCAGTTCTCGACTTGAGTTATCTTTGTCGTGGATGGTCGTCTTTCACTATTTGCCGCTTGTCTTCCCCCCAAAAACTCTAAGAATCCAACTCGAAAGTTTGGGATATCTGCTTCTAATCTTTGCTCTTTTTATTCGTCACTTTTCTTTAAGTCTGTTTCAAATTTTTCTTTAAGAGATATTTCGGCCATCAAGACAAACTTTGAATTTAGCGGGCCGTACGGTGAAATACGCGGAAAAACGCGTGCAGTGTGCTAAGGATTTAGGAAGCATCTCGAAGGAGTCCCTAAGCATAACACACAACATTTTTAATTATTTTTTTCTAATTTATTCGCCACAGTTCAACAAATACAAACCACTAATCTACATCACACAGTAACAAGAAAAGAAAAAATAAAGTGGAGTGACAGGAGAGGGGAACAGAACTTTCGTTCCAATTGAGACCTAAGCCCTATAATACGATAAAAAAGACACAAGTCAATTTAAGTCATAAAATACTTACTTGGAGGACTATATGAGACGAGTTTAGAAAAATATAGGTTATTTAATTTAGGTTTAAATTTAACTAATTTTAATTAATTAAGATTTAAACGTTAGGCGGCTAAATGTCATAGAGTTACGCTTTAGTTTAATTTGTCAGACAAAGACTTAATAGTTCTGAATATAACGTATGATCCGTATATTAAAAAAAAATTTACACACTACCTTAATAATACTTAGTATTGACTCTATTTCGTGAGGGAAATTTATTCATGACAACCATCAAAACTACCCCACCCCTTCGAGACTTTCTTCTACATATGTTTGTACACTATGCCTCTCCATAATTGTTTCTCAGTTAACGTAAGACAAGTCAATCAAACAATGTTAGATTTCATTCATTATCTTTTATTTATTATTTCTGCTTGGTTCAGTCGAAAGTTACACGTGCTTCAATTCTTGAATGAAATATGACAAGTATTGCAATAACTTTTATTGCAATCCTTTTCCCAAAAAGGAATACAGCCATCTGGACATGATTCTGTCAGTCTCTTATGAGCAAATTCCCTGCAATCGCATGAGACAACGTTGCTACGTTTCTGTACATCGGAACTCTTTGGGTGGAAGTAATCTGCCATGGCTGTTTGCTCCTCTTTGTCGTCCCATTTGAGATTTTCTACGATGGGAGTTAAATCCTCTTCCGTGAATACGTTTCGTGATGTGTTACAGTGCGACAAAGGCACAGCCATCAAGAAAATAACGAATACAACCTGGAGATAAATCAAAAAGAAAGCAATGAGACAAATCATACCCGGAAAAACGAAAAAGGAAAGGCTAAGGTTCATAAATCAGTCAATGCAGTGTTATGCTAAAGTTACGTTCACGAAGGAGACAAAGATAATTATGCTTGTTTTACCTTTTCAACGTTTCCGTGCATTTTTTCTCAGACTTCTTGCTTGATACTGGTTTTAGTCTACCGTCAAATTGCTGGAGGACCTTCCCTGAATCGAGGCGATGTGTGGAATAAGGAGCCGAATGGCCCTTTTTATATTCTTTGAAGCACTAAATAACAAATAAAGTAAATAAACTATTTTACCAAAGATAAGACATTAACTACGTAGACGTCAACCATATTTAGTGGTGATAAAAATATACAAAATTTCAAACAGCTGGAAAGGATGTAAATTCAGATTAGCTTAAGGTTTGTTGTCATCGCCTGGACTCACGAACGTAAAGTTTTTCGCGATACCAACTTAAAATACTTCCCTCACGTCCAAATAAATTTAGACAAAAGCCGTATTTTTTTGAGAGATTAAGATTACAAAGCAAATAGCTGTTTTCAATCGTTATTAAAGCACTACATAAATGTTGGGATACCGTTCAGATGACTTCTTTTTATTTCCCAAGCGGTTTTATATTTCTCGCCAAGTTGAATGAGTGAATGTTTCATAACCATGTTTGGGCTTTAATAAGTTATTGATTGGTCATTTATATCTCAACTCGCATTCGAAATATAAAAAAACATGGTACTCGTTTGTAAGCCTGGATTATAAATCAATCGTTACATGAGAAACTTAATGGATATAAATTTAAGCTTTGTTTTTCACGGATAAAATATTTCAATTCATAAAAATTTGAAGTTGATCAAAACTATCGTCACGATAAGTAATTAATTTTGGCCCTGAATATTTAATAAAACTCCGTGGGATGACTCCAAGTGTAGTTGCTCCACTTCTCAGTTTTCCCAAAATCAGCTGATATCTGACCCCGCAGTTTGACGCAATCGCCAACTCCAAAAGCAAACATACTGTCGGTGCAACGAGCGTTTTCTTTTTGTCTATTGATTACCGAACACAAAATAATCCGCAGGCACCTGTGCCATATACACACACACACACAAAATAAAATTTAAAAAATTAAAACAAAAAACAAAAAAAGGAAAGAAAGAAGGAACTAGTTGAAATGAAATATAAATATCGAGTCGCATAGAATCCTTAATGTGAAGCAAGTTAACTAAGTGCTTCGCTCTTTCATAGTTATATCCCTTTTAGGCGTTGGGTAACGTACCACTTTGTTGTGCTAAAAGGACAAGTAGGTATTGACGGTTGAAACAGGCTGAATATGTTATACAGCTTGATATCAGCTGCATATCAATTACCAGTAGCCTTTACACTTATTTTAAAGGTCCAATTGTAAAATGCCACTTGCTGAAAACAAAAGTGAGTTTTTTAGAGTTTGAAATATTAATGTCATTATGATTCGTAGCAGACCGGAAATAACCCAGCTTTTCATTTTCTTTACTCACAAATGCAAAAACTCATGCCGGGATCTGCTCTCCACTCATCGTCGGTGTCGACAAATTGTAAGGGTGGGATACGTTAATAACGTTTCTTAGAAACCTTCCAAATTTGTAATTTTTCTATTATCATCGTTAATTTATTTATCGATTTAATTTTTATTTTGAAGAAGATAAAGCGAGAGGCCCTATCTTTTCAAGACAGGAAATACACATGCGGACATGGCATACTGGATGTAAAAGGTTTCTGTTGTTTCTGATGCTTGGACTGGTAAACAGTCAAATGGATTGTCTCATTCGGAAATTACTCAGCCGAATTCAAATAAGACATAAATTGCGAAATATGATAAAGGAAAAAAAAGTGTGTAAAACAGCTTCTGTGCGTATACCAGCGACAGTCATAGTTACATCACGGACGAAAGTCTGTGGGTGGTTGTAATTTTGGTTGTGATGGAGATGAAATTTCATCTAGTTTTCTTTCCAAATTCATCCGCCTTTCGTGCCTCGAGAATTAGAAAGCGAAATGACTTACAATTCCACCTGTACCGACGATCATGAAGGGCCGGAAGTGTAAGACTTTTTCGAGAAGAAGAGTTTGTCACTGGTAATATAAGCCTCCTCGTCGCTTATCCTTTGCTTTATGATCATAATAAATTGTTCATTGGCTGGACGAAATTTTGTTGCGTGAATTACTAATAAGTCAGTGGCTAGTTATAAAGAGAGAAGTTACCCTTGCGGCTAAGTTTATATTATACCTTGAACAAGTTAAAATCGACAGGAAAAGTAAAGTAAGGCCCATTGCTGAATATTTACAAAGAATCGATCTTGCGAGCAAAAAAATGAAAAGATAAAATTATCCAGTAGTGGTTTAACGAAAAGGACACCTTTCCAATAACATGTATATTAACTTAAACATGTTTTTAACAAGGGGGGACCAAGTATGTTATGACTTTTATTTGGATTAAACAACGCACTACATGAACAATGTCTATCTATATCGAATAACTAATGGTCATTTTGTTTTATGTTTAAGTATACTTAAAAAACGAAATCGGACACAAAGTTTACGCATTTAGCCATTTAGTTGCTACCTAAAGATATAACGGTGTAATGAGGGATACTATGGGGATAATATCTGATTCGCATGATTTCGCTTTTTTTCGATGCCTATCCAATTTTATATATTGATATACTGAGGCTTGTTTTACCAAAATTAATATCAAGCCCTCTTGGTTTTGGGATGGTGAAGTCTGAGTTTCCTGAATGAGAGTAATCTTTACTTTCGTTGCGTTTGCAATTAGAGGCTTGGCAACAACTGAGTTTGTAAAGTTATTTCTGGTGATTGGGAAAATATACAGATAAGGGAAGATCGATGGCATGGAGTATACATGCAAATGTGTTGTCATTTCCGACAATTCGCTGCCTTCACCTTTTAATTGAACGATGATATGTTCAAAGGCTGACACTCGTTGATTTTTACATTCTTGTAACCTTCACTCTAAACGCTTAAACCTGAAAGTCAGCCAGCAGCCATCGGCTACTTTCTAACTGCATTATATCAAAAACATCGTTTGTGTTTCTCGTCCGTTGCATTGGGGGTTTCTACTAACTTACATCGTCTAGCCGTCTTTTTTTTCTTTTTTTCTCGTTGTGCTTGTAGAGAACGTGCCTAACCAGTTAAGTACGTTATCAAAGTAAGATAAAAAAAAACGGGTGGAAGGGAAAATTTGCAATGTTTGTTAAGTTCAGTTTGCAATATTCTCTCAAAAGACCCGCTGTCGCTTTATTCACTTATGGCTTTATTGACAGCACCTCTTGAATTGTGAAAATATTGCGTCTGTCTCAATTAATTGTTTTGGAGAGAGGAGGCAGGTGGCGGTGAAAATTCTCGCTAAAATACACGCAATCAGCTTCTGGCGACGCGGGCTGTAAGATAAAGAAAATTATACCTTACGCAGTAATAACAATAACAATAGTGAAAGTGTTGATAATGACAGAATAGCATCAATGATAACAATAATCATATAAAAGGCACCTTATTTGCAGTCTCACTGCGCATGAACAACACGTTGTGACTTGCCGTTGTCCCGTGGGTTTCACGTCGTGACGAGCACTTGAGTACTTAATCTTTTGTTTTGATCACTTTTAGCTTACTTTCGGACTAATTCAATTTGGAAGCCAAGTAAAATTGCATAATGTTTGATTTTATATTTAAAATAATGTTCTAGAAGCACTATTAAACTCATTTTTTCAAAAATTGTTTTCGCGTGCTAAACTAACTTCCAGCGAAGAGTTTGCTTTCTTTCAACGGAATAATTAGTTGTCTTTTCCGATTTTCTCAATGTATAACCGGTCATTTAACTTAGAAGATTTTTTAATCGACTCAAATTGATTTTGAATGTAGTGTGTTAATCGCCATGTTCACAAGCAGACAAACACACGCTTCTTGTTCACACGAGATGATTTCGTTCTTCGCAAACCGTTTTTTTTTAATCCCGAGACTAAACAAAACTAGCTGGCAAAAATAATGAGTATACAATTGATGGTAATCGATCGCTTTAACATTAAACATCGAAAATGTAAAACAATTTCCGTCTTTGATATGCCGAGGCAGAACTACTCTTCTAAGCCTGATAGTTTGTAATTTTTCGCAAAAATAATTTCACAAGGGGTGTGTCTATTATTAGAAAAGCTTTAATAGTGTAATTCGTTGGGTTATTTTTCAAACATAGTTTAACTCGTAGAAGGAGTGCACAGAACAAAAAGATGTCATGTTGGTCAGAGAAATCTTATAACGTGAATCCTTTAAATTCAAGACTGGCTCCAAGGAGCGTGGTTGGGCAAGGAGCCAAATAGTGCAAAATCTGAACACACATCCAGGATTCACAGTATCTTAAAGAGCTGTCTTTGTGACTCTTTTAATAAAGGAAACCAAAAGTAAATCATGCGTTTCCTTCAAGCTCGACATGACCGGACAATGCGAAGGAATTGAGAGCTTCATTGTGAAGATTGAATTTACCACCAAATTTGCGAAGCTCGCTCGGCGCGGCGTCGCGTTTTTCGTGCGCTTTGCTTGAGGATAGTAACCCGCAGTCGCGACCGCAACTTCAAGCCGTTCTATCCCCAGTTTCTTATCGGTCGTCACGTCGCAGTCGTCAACGAAAACGTCTTTTGCTTAAGGCGCCTAATAATAATAATAATAATAATAATAAATAATACTAATGGTAATAATTTTTTTTAATAAAAATATTTTTTTTTATTATAATCACTAAAAATATTTGCAAAAATTATGATAAAATCCTTAAAAAATCGAAAAATACATTAGAATGTCTGATAAAAATCTAAGAAAAACTAACGGTGTACGCTTCGTTTACCTTTACTCCTTGAACTTTAAAGAAGAAGGTAATACAAAAAAGTAATAATAGTAATGTGAAGAACTAGTCGGTCAATGCGTCGGTTGAATGACCGGCTGCTTAGTTTCTTAGGTTCTTTAAATTTTGTTTTATTGCTGCTCTAGCTGTCATTTTCAATTCCAAGATCTGTCAGATTCTCGTAAGAGCGTGGAAATTTGAATGATGTCACTATATTCAAGAAATTTTCTCCTACCACTGCGCTTTTTGTGGAAAGTTCCCGTGTGGCTACCTGGTGCTGTAAAAATCAAATATTGATCAACCCTAAAAAGACCAAGTTCCTTATGGTCGGGACAGGCTTCCTAACGAAATCGCGATCTCTTTCTTGGAGAAAGAGATCATACCTGTCTCCAGTGCCAAGGATCTCGGAATAATACTAGATAACAACTTAACCTATGATCAACACATTCATCAACTTACCTCATCGTGCATGACTAAACTTTGTCAAATAAACAGGGTAAGGAACAGTTTTGATAGGGACACTTTATGCACGATCATCTCCGCTCTATTCCTAAGAAAATTGTTCTATTGCTCTACAGTTTAGTCAAGCACAACTGCCACAAACATCTAGAAGCTTCAAGCTGTTTAGAATTTCGCTTGCAGAATCAGCACAAAAACCAAGAAATTTGAGCACATAACACCTGCGTTACGCGAGATTAAATAGCTACTGGTAGATGAGCATCTCCTTTACAGACACTGTAATGACATTTAGGTGCATGAAGGGCCTGGCCCCCACATATTTATGAGAGTCTCTCCGAAGACGCAAGTATATTCACTATCGTAACACTAGAAACAGAGAACCCCTTGATATTCCTCCAAGCAAGACAAAGTAAGGCCAGCGACGTTTCCTCCATAGAGCAGTCAACATTTGGAACAATTTAGACTACGACTTTAAACAGTTACTTTTAACATCATTTAAAGAAAAGTTGAAAACGTACATGCCAAAGAATTATTTCAATTTACCGCTTTTTATAATTTTATCCATTTTTTATTATAATGCTCTTTGCTGTTTAGTATTGAAAAGGCTCCCTGGGAAATACTAATAAAGTATGTATGGGTGTGTGTGTGTGTGTGTATGTATGTATGTAATATTAAAAGTTGTATTCTAATGGTAATACTAATAATAACGATGGTAATTATGTAATAGTGTAGTTTTATCGTTCAGGTGAGTGTAGTCCTGAGAAGGACTGTTATCGGTAGTGGTGACTGACGTTTCGACAATCTGAGTAGAATTCATCATCAGAGTCAAGTGACTTGACGGTCATCACTACCGATAACAGTCGTTCTCAGGACTACACTCACCCGGACGATCAAACTCCATTAGTCGCATGTTACCCCCGGGTTTAAACCATTAACTGGATGATGATAATGAGGCAATTATGCTAATCGTGAATATGATTGTAAGCCATTTTACGAGCGCTCGTAAGAACTACCAGGCAAGGCAAAAGTTGCATCATTAGGAAGCGCACAAATCAGTGAGAAGGCGGTTGTCTAAATCATTCGACAGCCAGTTAAGAGAACACAGACCAATTACTCCGATTTGACTTCCGTAGCAGCATGTCTTGGCGCGTGGAAGGACATACCTAGGAATTTTAACATTTCAAATGAGTTTTATGATGATTTTGTCTTTTAATCAGTAATTCATTAATGTTTGAAAGCTTTGCTCGCATTAGGTCTTCAAAAACGATAGATTATTTTAACTTGCCACCAGATAGAGGGGGTTTGTCCTTGTTAATAAATCCAAGTTTCTCAATTCATGTTATTCTGATCTTTTCATTTCATCTTTGAATCTCTTTTGACAAAACAAGCTTATATATTGATACTTTATTTGATCAGATTAAAATTTACTCTATCCCAAAATAAACTAAAGAGATAGTAACGTTGCTTCTGAAGACATCTCAAAAGAAATAGTTTGCAGGAATATTGCGACAAATGATAAACAGTTGAATTCATTTTCTACAAAATTTCGTCTTGGTGACTACCTGTTTACCAAGCGCATTCAGTACAAATTTCATATCATCATCAATTGATGTCTGAATAATAGAGGCCACTTTGGCACAGTCTATTTACATTGCATTTTACAATTTTATTGCTTAAAATCAGTATTAATAATCTCCATCCTTGCTCAGTCTCGTTGCGTGTTTCTCATTATTTCAAACTTTAATATTTTTCCGAAATTTTCATATTTATAGTTTTCTCCAATCTATATATTGACTTCTTGCGTGATGTGCTGTCACCCGTGTCATTCTCTGACGCATCATGAGCGAGCGAAACTTTCTCATGACAACCATTACGTGTTCGAGCGACTGAACAGGTTAATTTAAACTTACCGCACCATGCTGTGGACGTCATTCAAGCATTCTTATGGGAGTGTTCATTTATACTAGAGCAAAGGAGAAGCACAACGATAAGCGATGCGGGAATCGTTCTTCAAAAGTATTTTCATTTTGTCCATTTGGAGCGAGATTTCAATCATGTGCGTGCATTGTCGAAGCTCTTCTAGAATTCCTGATGAATTGAAGATAGCTGGGCAGATAAAGCTCTGTTTGAGAACATGTAACCTCAGCTGGCAAGAAAGTGAAACGGAAATATCAAGTAAGGAGGTAATCTAACAATTCCTTTACTTATAGTGGTGTTTATTTTAGTTCAATGAACAACTATTTTCAAAGAATGTTGGCAAAAGCTCCATGTACGAGATTTTAACTATAATTCGTAGACAATATAGTTCAATAACGAGTGTTAAAACAGTTTTCAAAATTTCCAATTTCGTATTTTTCTAGAGGAAACTGTCCTTCTCTGCGAACATCTTTATATGCTCAAAGCATGTCGATGTGAGACCCTCATTTGAGCTAGCTCGATTATCGGTACAAATTTGCCTCCCATGCATTTGAAAAAGATTCAGCCAGATTATGAGCTGTTGATATGAGAAAACACACTTCCTTTATTCAGAAATAAACAAAGAGCTACCTCTCAAGTTTAGTCCCTAACGGGATGAAATTCATTTGAAAAGAACCAGCAGCGGTGGTTTATTTACTTAGGAAAAACTCGCAAACAATGACCTGGATTGGCCCTACTTCTCATAGGAAGAAAATATCATACATTTTAAAAGAAAAAATGTTGAAAATGACGGTAATAGAGTCAAACTGATGAACGGGCAAATATCAAAAGACCCTGAGGGCTAATTACGCGTGAAAAGTTTACCTTTTTGAAAATAACGTGTGAATAATTGGGTCTAGAACAATCGTAAACGCAAATTATTCGACTTAATCATTCAGTCCAATTTCTGCGTTCTATATTTCGAAAAAATGTGAATTTGTAAAACCTATTCCACCATTGGAAAGAAAAAAATTAATAAACCGACCAAAAGAAAACAAAATAGATTGGGAGATAAAAAAAGTAACACAATTGAAGAATATTTTGCTTGTACGCAGTAGGGGTACATCAAAAACTAAAATGACAATATCCGCTCTTATACTCCCTATTTTCTATATTCCGAATATTCCTCTCTCTTTATTTCCCAACCTCTACATTTTCCACTTTCTGCAAGCCTGCTTTTTTCATTTTCGACGCTTTTCATTTTTAATACTCGGCTATTTACAATATTCGCTCTTTGAACACCGTAGTTACCATCTAGCCTCCGATTCAAGATTGTTTAAGTTTGAGGTTTTTTTAACTAAAATCAGAAACCCAGAGGATTAAAAAGGCTTTTTTAATCCTGATTTTTGACTACTACTGCATAAAAATGCATCATAACAAAACATACCATCCTATGCCATCCCATACACATAAAACACCAACACCACTTACTGCTTGGAGAAAACTCTATTCGAAATTCAAACATGCTCAGTCTCAAATCCATGATTTTTTTGTTTTGGTTTAGGACAATTCACTGTATGCCTGTAAGAAATCTATAGTACAGACTATTGTCACCTTTCTACGAATTAACAATATTCTCCTGTTTTTCTTTTGTGCAGTCACACGGACGTCATCAGTGTTGTTACGACAAATGTCGAGTTTTTGTATTGAAGAGTAAGTAAATAATAAAAAGAAGTGAAATGATAGTATTCTATCCTGTATGAGATGTAGCGGATATAACAAATTTGGCGTGCTAGATTGAGAGATAATGTCGGAAGAGACACGTAAATAGCTTGATGTTTTTATGATTTAACGTAACGTCAATCAATGGTTAAAATCAGACTCAATTTATAGAGGGTAACACCTAATAGTTAAACAACTAATACAGGTGTGACTCTCTTAATGAATGATACATTGTAAGAATGGATTTCCTAACACTAGTTTACTAGCTCTGATCTAACAAGGAAAGTGTGGGTCACCCTTATAAAGGTGACGCTTACCGAGCTGTCAATCTCTAACCTTCGTCATGATTTTATACTTAACTAGCGAATCACGCTAAGCTACGCAGAGCGGAGTTCGCATACTAAGTAGATACTTCGCGATGTTTACGATTTACAAAATGACTTCTTAGTCTTACGGTCAAGGTCGCGCGAAACAAAAACTAGATTGGTCAGAATTATAACAACCTTACAAACAGAATTAAAATCATAGCTGAGGAGATATCCTAAGAGAAAATAGTCCTCGAAGACTGTTACATAACAACAGAATAAACAGAAAATTCGAAGAAGAAAAGGCGTACGAAAGGTACCGCCCCTAAAAGAGCTACGTGCTATTCGTATAAATTACCTGATTATAAATTCAGTGTGGAGGATGAAAAGTACTACATGCTTACACCTAAAAAGTCACTTCTAAGTAAAAGAGGTGTAGAGCGTGCTAATTGATACCTGTAAGATAAGACCGCCAAAAAGAATAAGAAATGATCAAATGGCTTATTATAATTTTTATTGAATGACTTGTGTTAATATATTACTTCCATTCATTTTCCACGGTCAAATAAGTGAAAAAAACACCTATAATGAAAATTCTTGCTAGATGCCAATTTTGTCTTTTAACAATATTACAAATTAAATGATATATATAAAAAAATTACAATGTCAAAACTTCTTTAAAAGTTAATGTGCATATTACCCACAATATACGATCTAATATATTCTGAAGAAAAGGTTAAAACTGTTTCCCTAATCTGACTTAATTAAGATGTTATACAAAACATTCGTTGAAATATTTATAGATGAGGAGGTACGTATCTTAAGCGGAAGGTGATTCCAATATTTGGAAGTTGTCGCGGTAAAAGTAATATCTCCCTCTTTCACTCGATATATCGTAGCTTTTAAGAAAATGTTGTGATTGGCGCTCCGTTTGCTTCTACATGTACTTCACGTGTGGAATAACTAGTTAAACGAGAGCCGTTGAGAGCTCGAGGAATTCAGTCAAGTTTACATACCGAAAAAGGGAAATCTATTCACAGCCTCCCACTCTTCCTCAGCTGAAGCCCCCTCCCTTGTACTGTAATTCCAGATTTTCTTCGTCCCCGTGTGGATAACCTGAAACAATCGCGCGACCAGCAGACGAAGCCACCTTTCAAGAGGCAAAAACGAGGTAACAAAAAACGTTTTCCTCAAACGATGATAAGCTGATTTACTAATAGCCAAGCATTACACTTACATAACAGCTGGTTACGTTGACTATAGTTGATAGAAATGACTAGATTGGGACACCAAAAGTTTTTTTTAAGTTTAATTAGATAGTTCTATTTTAAATTTAGTAACAATGTGTAAAAAAAAAACAAAAGATCGCCGATCGGATCGCAGTTAAGCCGTTTTTGGCACCTTTGTTTTTTTGTATTTGAATTTTTCCGGGTTTTCAATCAGTTCCCGAGTGATCGTCACAATCTCAGAGTAAAAGTGGTTTCAAAAAAGGGGGTAAAAGGGGGGAGGTAAACAAATTGAAAATGTGTATTATTCAACGCATAAATGTCAACACACTCATGGGAAGGTCATTTGTAGTGAAGGTGAGTGGTTCAACTAAGTTTAACGAAAAGAGCAGAGAAGGTTTGCTTGACTGCATCAGTGTTTCACTAAATTCATCATACAGATGAGGCACGTATCGAGCTGGTTGATTGACCGTTAATACGTGCGGTCGCCTTGAGCATCTTTCTTAGTCTTATTTTTGGCTACAATGAGACAAGACCGACAAAGGTTGATGAGTTAACCTTTGCATATTAAGTACGGTCGGAAAGCTCGCACAAAGTGCTGAGAGGGAAAAAGAGGCTGCTAGTATCGCTGCTAGGCACAAACTATTGACTATTTGCGGTTTTCGTCACAAGCTTAGTGTTTTAGCAGAAGTGCAAAGTCGTGGCTTAGTCTAATATAATGGTCAATCAACAATATCGATTCGCCCTGCATTTTAACCAGAAATATGGTTCATTGTGACTCCCCCTGCTTCTTTTGGTTCAAGAGCGTTATTGACATTTCATTATGGACAAGTCATTGCAACTTGGAAATTATTTTCCCGTGCTCTTCGAATAATGGCCAGATCTTTATACTTACAATTTGTTTGCTATTTTCGCACAGAAAGCTCCCTAAGCCACCGAGAAGATAGCTCTGATAACGGTAAAATAAAAATATGCCTTTTTTGTCACGAGTAGTCCAGTACTGCAGAGTTTTTTCTTTTTTCAACTTTGTTACCACCATCTTAGTGCTGAGTATTTGCCTTACTTGATCACTTTTGGATTTTAGTTAGTTTGTCTGATTTCTTTTAAAACCCTTTTTTTCTTTCTATCTCTTTGTACTTGACTTTTCGTTTTGTATTTTGTTTGCTTGTTTGTTTTTTTCTTTTGGTTTCCTGTCTTTTTTGCGTTCTTGTTTCAGCTGCTTTAGTCCTGTTTTATTTCTTTGTTTATATTTTTCGAAGTGATTTGACTTGTAATTGAAAGAAAGCAGAAAATTAGTTGTTTCCCTTAAATCTGCTGACTCGGCCTTTGTGGTGCTGTACAAAGCTCGGTATGATAAACCGTTACCACCTTCTGTATCTGGTTTCTCAAATTTAGGTGATACTAGTTTGACAGTCATAGGTATAGCAAACCTACTCTAACCACTCTAAGAAAACTAAAAAGCGAGTTGTTAACTTACATTTTGTGCTAAAAAAAAAATGTCATTAAAAGGTATTTCAGAACTCGGCGTTTCATTCGTTTTTGGTGCAGACACATTTAGCAAGTGCTATTTGTCATTTTGAATGTACCAGTGCTAAATTTATCATCGAGAGTATATTTATTTCATTTTCTCTAATGATTAATGCATGGTATTGTAATTTTTCAAACAAAGATTGCCTTTTGGGGAATACAATGAATTCCACTTTGATAAAGCCTAACATGAAGTTAGTGAGATTCCAGGAACTTAACAACACAGGAACATACATGTTGAACGTGACGTGGATACCTTTGCAAGGTATGTAGAGTAACAATATAATGGTGTCACATGTCAATCAAGAAAAATGATTCCTGCTCGGACAAGACAAATTATTTCCAATTCTGCTTAGCCTTTTCGGCAAACCTTTTGAAAACCAGTAATTATCCATTTGCGTTGGTAAAAGGTTGCTTTGTTTGTGGGAGAAAGATAGTTCGCATGTGGTCTTTATTACAGATGACAATCTCATCTGGGATGGATACAAGGTGATTTACCAAGTTGCAAAGGAAAACTTCAAATGCGTGAACTTGGATAAGGTAAGAATTGCTAACATCTGGGGATTTAAATGATATTCATAATGGCTAGGTTTAAAATTAGTTCAAACTTTTGCTGAAAAAAAGTATGGTGCAACTGAAAGCTTGCATTTCTTAGAATACTTAGAACTTCTTCAAGTTAATTTATTAGACTTTTGTACTTGGTTTTGCCTCAAACATCGGCCCTAGATGTTAGGTGCGAGGGAAAAGTGTTTTTTGTTTTTAGCAGAGGCACATTGAGGTTATTCATTATTATGCAACCATGACATCTTTTTCAGAATGTCACGAATTTTGTGGTAAAGAGTAATTTGACAAGAGGTGTTAAATTCATCTTCTCTGTAAGTGTTTCCAATTTTATGTATTTAACAAATAAAAATTGGTGAGGGGAAGATACGTTTAGGAACTTTAAAACAATATTACGGTCGATTTCGATAGCAGAAAACTTGAATTTAGATCGACGCAGGAATCTGAGGAGCCCTTTGAAGCGGGAAAGGAAATGCGTTTTAAGCCTTATGCATCCGTTTTACTCTGGTTTTTGCACTTTTAGGCATATCAAATATAAAGGTTTGATTGGGGTTTGACAGTGGGACCTATGAAGCAGCATTTACGGTTGTTCGAAGGTTTCATGCTTTTTTTTAAGAAAACAGACTTAAGGCTTGAAGCATTGACTGTATAGGCCGAATACCTTGTGCAAATTTAAAACTATTATGAATGAAATATCAAAGCGGAGCTCGCAGAGCGTGGCCCCATAATTATATAAAATAGCAGTAACCCATCAAGGCGAAACAATTTGGATGTACGACCGTACAAGGTGCTACTTTTAACATGCGTCAACTATACCGCGGGCACGCCAACGCCACGGCTTTCTCCAGCAGTCCAGTGGTCAGTGCATTGGGCTCCAAGTCGGACGACGGGGGTTCTATTCCCGACCGGGGCAAGGCGTTGTGCCCTTGAGACGTACGGGGAAAAATAAAATGCGAGCTCCGCTTTTAGGCTTGGCCAAATCTATATATTAGTAGTATGAATCCAACTCTGTGGAGTGGTACAGCGTTCACTGAATCCACTTCAACATAAGACCCCACTCGGTTCCTGAAACAGTAATGTAATATCTGTGTTTTTTACCTTTGATTATTTTGTGCAGTACCGCACGGGGTTGATAATGCCTTTGAAGTTCAATTCTTGTATGTCTTGGCGCCCATATTAGAAAGCCCTTACGAGTAAATGAGGCAATTTTAGGAAACGTCCTGAGTAATCAAGCAATTTTTAGCAAACGTCCTGTCTAAACGATGGGCGGGTGAGAACAGTACAAAAAAATCTAGTGGTGGAAAAATCTTGGACGAGCGAAGTTCCAGCACTTGAGATAGGCAATTCGACTTGTTAATTTGTAAATAGATTCTGACTTGGGTAGATTCTCTATCATCAAGTTGTATTCCAAAATGTCTTAAAACATTATTTAAATTTACCCACTAATGTCATAGCTAAGCTCAACCAAAGGGTCACTGTGGCGTGTTCCTGAATCGCCGAAAATTTAGTGTGGCATTGTTGTTGTTTTTTTTTTCTTTAAGGTTTTTGCCCGGCCATCCCCTATTGACAACCCCGCGGATTTTGACATAGGTTAGTTGCCTCTAACCGAGACCGTTTTTGTTTCTTAGCGTACGGAGACTGCCAAGGGCATTAATAATGTTTGAATTACATATTTCTAAACGAGGAAAGGCTCAACGCGGCCGCCACATCACACATCAGTATGTCCTGTCTCTTCTGTCTAACTCTTTTCTTTCTTTTTTCCTCGTCTAATTTTGTCCTTTTTTTTTGTGCAGTTTGTCGCATCCCATGTAAAGGTGGGTATTTCGATGAAATTTATAAATAAAGATCTATATATAAGTATTTCTAAATGCGTATTGTGGTGGTCACTTGAAATATGAAACACAACTGTTAATTTAAAAGTTAATCGGTTGATACCAGCAGCAGAATGAAAATGCGTCGATCAGTTCGAAGCTTCAAACCCTCCCATCTGCGCCCAAACCCGGGCAACATTCTCGGGCGTTTGAACTTTTGAAGATTGGTTCCTTCAAATTCCCGCTCAACACTGAGTGTTCAGATGCCCCACCCAAGTGCCGGAACTGATCAGAGATGTTTTGTAAAAGATACGATCAGCGATCGTGATTTTCTTGTACACCTTTTCTTCTGTGCAATCTGCTCACGAGAGCGACTTCGAAATTCTTTTCCTTTAAACACCTCCATATCAAAATATATGTATTCCGCTAGAAAAATGACAGTTCCGGTTCAAATTCCCCACCCCACCCAGGAAAAGTTCACATTTTCTGCACTTCAGGCACGGACGATAGTCAAATGTCCCGTGGGTTGCCTGGGAGGGGGATGTTGTAGCTTCGAATTGATCAGTGCATAAGCTTTATCTTTGAAGATATGTGCAATAGTCTAGAAAAATAAATATATCATAATTACATCAAATCCTATATATCAATATGCACGATAGAGCATGACTAAGCATAACAAGGTAAATATTGGAACACGCTAAAATATTCAGGAGTTGTTTCTAGCCCGCCCACAAAGTTACACTTCTTATTCATGGCCAGCTTCTTGGAAAAACAATAAGCCAGCCTGCAACATCTGACCACCTTGATCACACGTATAATACTTTAAACGCTTGAAAAAGCTTACCAAAGTTAATTCAGCATGTAGAATCGAGACAGCATTTTACATATTCGGGGTAGATGTATAGCCTATGATGTTCACCAAGAGATTATAAACTATAATTATATCTTGTGCTTATTCTGTAAATGTATTTTACCCACGTGATGGTTTTTTAAGTTGTTTAGCAGCCAATAATAATTTTATGGGCTCTTCAATTTAATGTTTTAACTCACAAGTAGGGCTTGGGTCAGATGCACTTCATAAGAGTGAAAAATTTGTGTATTCATAGAGGCGAAGCCAATCAATCACGAGGCAACTGGCCCTTCTTCGACTCCTGATTCAGGTTTGTTGCTGGTTTTGTTAGCAGAAACAGTCACTACGAAAGCTTCTCTTTGTATAAGTATACATCTGTATATTGGACTTAGCATTACCCCTTTTAAAGCAAACGCGAATCGCAACCAAGGAAGAAAGCAGAAAACTTATTGTCAGCAACCTTCTAACGCACTTTGAAAGGACAGGCGCTCGGTTATTGCTGTTGGTATTTTTGTAATCATTGTTATTGACGGCTATTTTTTTTAAATCTGTAAAATTTTGAGTGCCATTTAATTGTGACCTCTTCCAGAGGATAATCTCTTGCGAGAAAATCTCGGCTATCTAGTTTTAAACCAGGTGATGGCTCACAGTTTTTAAAGATGCTGAAATATTGTATGACTTTTTCACTTTACTTATCTCTTCCTGATACACAGCTCACGACCCGAATGCAACAACTCCTAGGATCCCAGGTCTGTCGAAAAAAGACTTTTAAGAGTATTTTATATACCCTATTATATCTTTTTTTGTTTATCTGTCGAATTTGATTAAGTTTCGATCTTTGCTCTCTTTATATGGACCAATGGAAAGACGGGAACTTCAGAAACAATTACATAATATTATTGCCATTTTTTCTCTTTATAGTTCCAGTCTCGAGTTTTATCTTCAAAGCACGTGTTCAGATTATTATCTTTCTTGTACTAAATGTTATCTCAAGTAAGAAGAGTATTGTTAGACTGACAAGTGTCGTCGCTCTCACTTAATTGTGATTAAACAAAGTTTATGGTCGTTTGGTTGCAACTCCTTTCGTTACGTTTCAAGAAGCAGCCATAACGTGGCAGTTTTACATTAAGTCAGTTTTATTTTTATCTATTTACTTTTTGATTATATAGTTCCTTCTTCAAAGATCAATCGAACTTCTTCGTCACCTCCGAATTCAGGTTTGTCCGAAAATACTTAACGCCATTCTTAAAAAAGTAATGACACTTTGTAAATGATGATATTTCTGTTTAAATCAAGGTAGAAGTAGAAAGCTCCATGGCTACTCCAGGAATTTCGATCTTGTTGCGCGGTTCGGGAAATTTCAGAAGTTTCAGAAAGCTAAATGCATGAATAATGATATTGTTAAAGAATAGTGATAGTAATCCTTAACTTTACGCAACCCCGTGCGATCAACTTACTTATTTTCCTATGGTGCTTTTTACTTTATAAAATAATTCAAATAGTACGCGCGCTCTGATTGGCCATAAAACCATTTTACATGAGCGTATTTAAACACGGTTTTCGTTCCTCTTTCATTAGTTATTTTATAAAAGAAATGTAAAATGGTTTCCGTGTTTACATAGCCTGATGTAAACACTTGGGAGGTTGGGAGAACACGAGATAAGCGTAGGAAACCACGACGCGAAGCGGAGTGGTTTCCAGCTTATAGAGTAAACACGGAAACCATTTTACATTTCTTCAATATACCACACAAGTTAATAGTTCTTTTCGCGCGCGCTGATTGGCTGGTTTGGATGTTAATATAGCTAGTGCTATTCACCTCCGAGCAACCGATGAGAGAAAATTGCGCGTCAAGTTTAATTTCTGACCATTTTTCGTTATATTGAAAAAGTAATTTTTTTTCTGGTGTCTTCTGGGGTATATACTAAACTATTTTCACCTCAGTATGGGTGAGTAACTGTTAAATACGGAGATTAAAAAGATTTCTTCGTCTCCTCCGACTTCATGCAGGCATCAATAGGGCAGCTCCACGGCTAATCGAGGGATTTTGATCTTGTTGGTGACTCGAGCACTTTCTACAACTTCTGAAAACACGCGTGATATCTATTCCTAATTTTATTCGGCTCCATGCGGCTACCAATTCTTATTTACATTTTTTGCTTTATACAGAGGTCAACGAAACTTCTTCATCTCCTTTGGCTTCAGGTTTGTAGGAAAAACTTAACACAATTCTTAAAATCTTAATAAAACTTTGTTAACGATGATTATTCTCTTTGAATCGAGCTAGAAGTAGTATAAATCTACGGCTGATCAAAGGATTTCAATCTTGCTGCGCGACTTTGCAACTACAGCAGATTCTGAAAAAACGCGTGATGTTTTTTATTACTTCCCCCGGTTCCATGCAATAACCTCAATTAATAAGACCTCTTTGTCTCCTCCGATTTCAAGTTTGTCAGAAAATACTGAACACCATTCTTAATAACGCTTTGTTGCCGATGATTTTTCTTTATAAAACGAAGTGGGGCAGCTCCGGTCCACTGCTGATCGAAGGATTTCGATCTTGCTACGCGACACAGACATATTGGCAACTGCTGAAAACACGCTTGATATATAAACAATGGCCTAATTTGGCGCGAAACTAAAGTGCACAGATATTTGTCCGCGGACATTATGTGTTCCGAGATATTTACAGTTTTCCGAACATCATTCTTAATAACAGTTTTCCAGACACCATTCTTAATAACAGTTTTCCGAACACCATTCTTAATAACAGTTTTCCGAACGCGAAGCTCGAGGAAAACTGTGAGCTTCGAGGAGCATATGATTATACGAGCATATTTTCGCGCCAAATGGAGGCTATTGAATTGTCTTTGAATTGTCGTTGAAATATTTTGCAACGAGCTGGGGAAAAAAAATTACAAACACCTTACTGTTTGCTGAGTGAAATGTTCTCTTCTCAGTTCTAAAGTAAGACTTAACGAATAGGCAAATATGTCCTTGTTCTGTAAAAACCAGAAAACGCTTTTCTTCCCTTGGATTTAATTCTTTACCAACGGCGTGGAAACAAAAATATTGTATGGATTATGATAATCCTTAATTATACTCGGTCCTATGCCACTATTTACACTTTTTTTTTTTACTTTGTTTTGCTTTGTGCAGAGATGAAAAAGACTTCTTCGTATTCTGCGACTTCAGGTTTGTCAGGAAATACCAAGCAACATCCTTAGGACTTTAATAAAGCTTTGTTTGCAGACATAAATCTCTTGTTTGTAACTGAGTTTTCTAACGAGCTTTTCTGGTATATTGAAAAAGTATTACTCTGTTTATTTCAAAAGGATTTTTTCTATGTTAAAGCATGATTTACCCTGATTTTAAGATACCTTTACCTGTTTAAATCGTACCGATCAAACTTGATATGCGTTAAAAATTTGCATCGGACATTACATGCAAAGGAAGTTTCCGTGCCAGTCGATGTAGAGCTATATTTCATAGGTGCGATAATAGAGTCTTTGAAATAAAATCGACGACTGCTGTTTAATAATAAATAAATTTTGCAGAGAAAACGATTTACAAGCAATTATTAGATTCGTTTGCACTATTTGGCTCTTCCTTTCATTCTCCACTGGAATACTATGCGATTCCAAGATGGAAAAGAAACACTGCCAAGGATGCTTTCACTGATATGCTATTTCGTCATCTCTTTCAGGTCATAAAAATAATATGATTGCTTATGTACTTGCAACTGTTACCATCTCGGTATTCGTTATCATTGTGGCTGCTTTGATCGTTCACTTGCGCTGCCGTCGACAAAAACCGAAACCAAGGGAACCATCTGTCTCCTTAACAGGTACATGTTCAAATCGCCAACTGTGATGATAGAGATCAAGGGGATCACTTGAGGTTGACTTCTGTTTTGCGCAGTCATGCAATATGCTCTGACTGTCCGTGTCTGTCCTCTGTATGTTTGTCTGTCTGTGTCTCTTTTTCTGATACTTTTTTAAACGATAAACTAGTGAGCAGCACCGCACGAGCTAAAATAGTAAATACTAGATTTATTTTCCTACGCGTTACACGCGAAAAAGCGTGGAATAAGGTATTTTTCAATGCTCGCGACCAGCTGTTGTAGTCCTATGAGAATCGTGCAGGGTCTGGTATGGTTTTTCCAACATGTGGGCCGTCATGTTTAAGTATTACGCGAAAATTTTGGGGTCCAGTGTGTTAATCTTCATGTCAAGCCCCTGATGTCACGGTTGTAGTCTTGTAACCATACAGGGTCTGGCGTGGTATATCTTAATGCTCCCAACCTGGTGATGCAGCCTCTCACCAAAAGCGTGGGGTCGGATATTGTATTTTCAATGCTTGCCACCTAGTGTCATATTCTTGAGAAAAGCAAGAAGTCTGACATGGTGTATTTAACGTTCAGGAGCTGATATTGTAGTCTCACGTGAAGACTATGGGGTCTACACGGAATTTCAGTGTTGTGGACATGATTTTGCAGTTCTGGGCAAAAAGAATTACTGCTACGTTAAATTTAAAGTTTTGAATTTGTGTATGTATGTTGTATATGATGCTTTTCAGTGACTTTGTTGTCATTCGGCATTGAGACAATCTTTTGGCGGAAAATCAATAAGATTTTCCAGCTAGGCTCCTAATCTCGATAACCGTGTTAGAGTGTGATAACTTCAGTCCGGTTACTTCAATTAATCGATAATATTATGAAGGTTTTCTTGCAGGCTACTGTTCAAAGTTGAACCACCAATGAGATGGCGGCGCTTTCCAAACTTAGTATTTATTAATTGTTTCAGTATATCTGCGTTTCTGTTAGTTCTACCGTGCATGTTTCATATCCAATTATTTCATGTTTCAGACATGGAGTTTGAATACGATGCGTTTGTTATATACAGCTCCGAAGACGCAGATTGGGTGGTAAGAACTCTTATTCCAACTCTTGAGGAAAAGTACGGTTTAAAGTGCTGTGTTCATTACAGAGATTTTCTTCTTGGAGTTCCCTTTCGTCAAAATATGGTTGACAGCGTTTACAAGTGTAAGAAGAATATTGCTGTTGTGTCCACTCACTTTTTCAATAGTAACTATTGTGGCAC